CAATTATTGTGTCTTTTAGTAATTATTCCTCTCAATTTCTAAAAGATCAAAATCCTCAACTTCATCTCATTAATCATCACTTTATTTCTCATGTTATCAATGACTTTGATAATACTTATATTTAACGTGGAGGAAATTCATGATGTTGTCCAAATCCATGAATTTTGATTCCATTGTCTGACCTGATAGTTGCACTTTCATCTTTTTTTTGAAATGTTGGAATACTATTAAAGAAGATAATTGTAATTCGGTTATTGAATTCTTCCAATTCCATGATCTCTACTCTTTACAATAAAAAGTCTTAACATTCTTTACTCTAACAATGTTAGTTGGCACTACAGATCTATAAGTGATTTCATGATCTCTCATCTTAGTTTTGCATATGATTTTATTAAATTTGATAATGGTTCTTACGTTGCTATAAAACTCATTATAAAAGTACTAGAGAAATTGTAACTTAGTGGCATTTAGATCAATAACAATAAAAAATGCTTTAATATTGTCAAATCTTATAATCAATTTAATGAAATAAAATATATTCATAATTTTTCTACTAAATCCCTTCTGATTAAATATCTTGGAGTCCCCATATATAAAAGTAACAAGCAAACTCTTCTTTTTGATGAAATTATTACTTATGCAGGAACAAGTTGGCTAGTTGGGACTTTCACATGCTTTCTATGGAAGGTAGACTAACTTTGATTAAAGTGTGATATGCTCTCTTCCTATTTATATATTTCAATCCATAAATCCTTCTTCCACCTTTTGTCTTAAGATTGAAATTCTTATCAATAGTTTTTTGGGGCTCTTCTAACCTTAAAAATACCTTCATTTGGTCGACTTGGTGTAAATTGTGCTTTATAATTCATGAAAGTGGTTTAGGATGCAAAACATTCCTAAATTTAGCTTGTGAATTTTCTTTTAAGATTTGGTGGACCTTTAGAAATGATCAATCTTTGGGCTTAATTCAAAATTAGAAAGTACATTCAAGGTATTCACTTGACCTTGGACTATTATAGAAATGGTGACTCTTCCATTTGGAGGAGTATGCAAAGTTAAATGGGTTGTCGAAGTTTTAATTTCTTGGGCCTCGGGACAGGTTTTTTTTTTTTTTTTTTTTTTTTTTTTTACAAGATAATTGGCTTGGGATCGAATCTTTGGATTCTCTCACAAAGTCTCTTTGGACTTCCTCTCTTAAAGTTTGTAAACTCATTACTTCTTATTAGAACATGCACTTACCTTTTGAATTAGTTCCCAATTTCAATATTCATAAAATCACTCAAAGCAAGTTAGACGTGATTAGCTCTGATAAAATTATGTTCATCTTATCTCAAAATGGTAAATTTTCTCTAAAAGCAATTTAGGAGCATATCATGACCAAGAAACAACCTTCCAATTTATTTAAACACATTTGGGGAAAAGCCATTTCATCATATAATTCTATTATTTTTTGGAAAATAATTCAAGGTTCCTGCATGTTGACTCTAATATCCAAAAGAGACATATACCTTGCCTTTTTTTTGTCAATGTTGCTCGTAAATTGAAATATCAATCATCTATTTGTTAGTGGTGATGTTGCTACTAAAATTTGGATTGGATGGTTGTCATTTTTCAAAAAAAATACTTGTAATCCTTCATTATCCTTAAAAGAGCTCGTTCAACAATGGTTGTTAATTTCATATACCCTTTTAAAATCATATTATTAGTATGCTCATATCTCTTATTCTATGGTTCATTTTGGAAGCGAGGAATTATTCTAAACATATAAACATAAAAAAAAAATCATCATGTTGTCTTATCTAATATTTTAAATAGAGCTTAACAACTTTATGCCTTCAATATAATTGATCTAAATTTCTTTAAAGGAAGTAATTATGTTGTGTATTCAGGCTAGGGATTTTTATGAGCCTCTTATTTCTATTATCAAATGCATTAAACCTTCTTACAAGTTGATTATGTCCAATATTGAAGGCTCTTAGACCAATAATAAGAGTAATTTTGGTGTTTTATTAAGAGACCAATTTGTTAATCTCATTATTGCATTTGCGGGCCCATTAGATAATATTTATGTCATTTATGCTAAACTTTATGCTTTTAAATTTAGCCTTGAATTGGCCATTTCTCTTGAAGTGAACAATATATGGTTTGAGCTTGATGCCTAACTCTCTGTAATGCTTATTGTTACTTTCAATGAGGTAAATAGTTATAATTACAAATTATTCTACTTTTTGTGTGATATACATTACCTTTTAAACAAGATTTAAATTTAGTAGTACTCTTATGTATCAAGAAGGGAATGCTTGTGCGGATTGGTTGACCAAAGCTGGAGCCAACATGGTCCACATCACTTATTCTTCTAATGAGCTTCATAAAGACCTCATTGGTCTAATTAAAATGGATAAAACTTGTGTGCCTTATTTAAGATGGCGCCATTAATCTGGTTAGTGGCTATATTCTTTACAATTTCATGGATTATATTTATATCAGTGCTATGAGGACTTTCATTGATTTTGGTGGTATTTTAATTTGGTGGTTTCTCTCTTGATTGTCAAATTATTTGAAGAGCAGGATTATGTTTAATAGAGACATCCATAATCAATGGGATTTATGGCTATAATATCGAAAATGACTTTGGGTCCTATATGTTTTTGCAAATTTTTTGTGCCTCTTGCTCACACATTATTTCATTAGTTTCTCACTAGTCATGGGATCCATGCCTACTAATTGGTTATCCTTTATTTACTATTATTACTTTAATTTGATTCTTACATTGAATTATTTGGTTGGAAGCATTTACATAGCCTTTTATCCCTCGAATATGCAAATTTTTAATTAGTTTTTTTCCTCTGGAGGTTTTAAGATGACTTGCATATGTGACTGTTTTCTTATATCAATATTATGAATGTTGTATTTCTTTTTGTTGGTTGGTATATCCATAATGCAATGGATGTGCTTTTCTTATTGCTTTATATTAGATGTCTTATTTTATTATACACTAATTCCTCTAGCTTATTTTCAATGATCTTGGGTTTCAAACCGTTTTAGCATCCCATTTGGTTTTAAACTTCTTTATCTTTGTCTTATCTTATGATCATTGGAGTGGTATCAATATTGTGGTATATTTACTTTTAATAGATTTCATATCATGATCATCTAATTATCTCTTATTATATATTACGAGTTGGTTTCTTTGCCATTTCCTTGGCACGAATTCAATTTACTTGTTATTATTGAATCTTTTTTATGCTTTCTTCTCTATCTTTTTTAATGGTTGTGGCCTTTGAATGTTTTTGGTCAGCTTTTGACAACTTCTGATATTTTGACATTTGTCTTTTCTTCTTTTTCTTGTGGTTGACATATGTGATGTTGTATGCGCTTTTCTATTCAGTTATATTTTTGTCCCTTGTCATTTTATGGTGTATGTTTTTTCTTCTCTTTTTATTCAGTCTTCTTCTACATTTTCTTTGTTAGGGTTGGCTCCATCTCGATTCTTTTGAATTTCTTCCCCCTTCTTTATTTTTAAGGTTAACATTTTTCCTCTCATTTTCTTTTCTCCATTCTTGTCTTTGGTCTTTCTCTGTGTGTAGGGATCTAGTAAGGACAACTTAAAACCCCTATCTCAAAGGTTTCTCGTTTGCGGTAGAGGCTCTACTCGTCTGCCCTTTCTTCCCTTCCTCTTTATGTTGCTTGGCTGGAGTTTTTTTTTCAATCATTTTTTGTTGTTTTTTTTAGTTAGTTTTTTTGGTACCTCTACCTCTGACTTTGGGTGGTTTATTTCTATTTGTATGAATTTTTCAACCAAAACTAGCTTCTTATCTTTGCTGAAAAATCGTTCAAACAAATTTATGCCACCTTGCTTAGTTTGTTTCATCTTTATGTGCTTCCTCCTACTCTAATGGGTTGATATTTCATTTAAATTGATGTGGGTTGATGCTTTGTTGTTCCCTTGGGATTGGTTAATTTATTGGGTTTCAGATAACATTGTCAGGTCAAAATTTTTATTTTGACCCAAGACTCACTCGAAACTCATTTAATTAATCGATATGTGGCATCTGCTCTCATATCATTGTCTATTTATTTTATGATGGTCTTTGCTTACTAACCTTCGCTTAAGTGCTTGTATGAATTCTTTGTTTGTTTTATGTTTCATATGCTGACTTTTTTTAAGGGAATTATTTTAGTTATGTATTCTTGTTGGTGTGGCTATGCCAAAGTTCACTATCTTGATGTCTTTATGTGAGTTTTGCTTGGTGCGCCTATGTGGCAAATCAACTTCTATGGCTTGTTCGTTTTTCTGGTGTTGAAGTTATGTTTATTGTTTCTATTTGCTTTGTAAGATTTTTGAATTTAGTGTGTTTTGCTCTTTTGTTTCTTGCGTGATTTGAATCTCTCAGAGGCAGTTTCCATAGGTTTTACTTTATGTGAGTTATACTTTGAGTTCAGTTGGAAACCTCTAAATGTTCTATGTATCCTTGTTTTGGTATCAATAATATTCCCTAAAGGATTCCCCAAATAAAAATCTACCACAATTTGCTTATTGTGCACCCAAAAATATATCATAGAAACTTCAATGATCTGACATTGGCTAGAGTTTCAAGGCTTTTATGTCCCTTATGGAAAATTTACACACTTAGCACACAATTCATATGTATTTATATATCTCACACAACTTTCAAATTTACGTACATAGCATTTTGATGTTTTAAACATATATATATATATATATATATATATATTATCTCGTGTGCGCGAATATACTTTTTCTTCTATATGCT